TTTTTCGGATTGTAGTTATAATTTAAATAAATAAATACAAACACTTTGTTTTGTTTCGATAATTCTCCTTTGCTGTGTGTTGCTGCCGGCCCGTCTCTCCCCCATTCTCATTGAGTATTTTACAAAGAGTGAAACAAACAGCGCCCCTCTAGATGTTATGGTGAAACAGTAGATTGCACTCACTGTTGCGAGAGGAGGCCAGCCGAATCTAGCTTCCCTTGGTGAAAAAAAATGGAGGGATTGACCAATCAGATGAGGCCCACGTGATGCCCCTGCCAACCTGTGATTGGTCAGGGCCATGCCAAGGGAAGCTAGCCGCCTCTTGCTTCCCTTCAGAGGCGGCTGGCGGCTGGCGATTTGATTGGACACTGCCATCCAATCAAATCACATCAACATCAGTTTTAATACTGTAACTGTCATCACCGCCGTTAGAAATTATCAAGCAAATGAAGCATTATGGAGGGAGGAGATTTGGCGTACTTAATCAAACATAACTTTACTAAACTTCCGCTACAGCAGCAACTAAAAATTAAATCATATGACAGGCAAATGCCCGCACTCGAGCTGTGTACGCAGAGGAAAAAGGGAGAGAATCGGACGTTCAATGAGGACAATTATGTCCGCACGGAGTGGCTAACTGGAAGCGCTAAACTTCAGCGTCTATTTGGCTGGCCATGTCTTCTTTTTGACAAGGATTCGTGCTCCCTGAACAATCCTTGGGCAACTTCAGGATTCATCGACCTTGCCAACCTGTCACGGGCAATTGAGAGGCACGGTAAATCCAAAAATCACATAGATTGTGTGATTGTCTGCATACATTAATAAGTAAAATGCTTAAATTAATAAGGAGAGAGTTTCAGCTGGAGAGTGCGTGCGGACCTGTCGGTTAGATAACAGGCGTGTGCAAGTCCTGCATCTGTGTGATACAAATGTGTGTCAAATGATACCGGGCGCTGTAATCACTCATCTGGTTACGTTATTGACCACCCCCCGACCCAAAAAATGGGCTTCCCCTACATTTTTCCCCACGCCACGCTACTGTACCACAGTAGTAGTATTGTCTCTGTTGGTGTTAAAGGAGAAGCTATTCCCTTGGCCTGTTACCTCTTTTAGCTTTCGTGATGGCTTACTTTCTTGACTTTGATTGCCTGAGCTGGTGTTAGTCTGTCTCAGCCAGTTTATGGTTCCCAAATGATGCCTGTCTCTAGCCCCTGATGGGGATGTTGTTGTTGACAGTGCTGAGCTGCTGCGATGAGATCTGCTCCCAGCTGTGTGGTGTAATGTGCAGAGCAGGAGTGCCGATAAGGCGAGCAGTGATGGTCGTTTTTGGCTTTCCATCTCACTTCCTCTCGTCGAATAATTTTCTTTCACAATGGATCAGATGGGCTGATGTCTGCCATTAGATCAACTCTGCCTCAGTGCACACGACGAAACCCGCTTGAAACACAATAACACGTCCATGGACGAGAGGTTCGGCGATTCATCTGCTATTAAAGAAAAAAAAACTATTTAGTCATGCATGTCAAAAAGACAGTTGAGTATGACCTTGCGTAGGATAAGCTTGCAGGATGAAGTTTACAGCGCCTAAACGGTGATAAAAGTCACCTCATTGCAGCCTCCGACTGGCAGGCATTTATACAAATCACTTACTAGTTTCGGTGGGACGAGAGGACCCGGCTATCGTGCCGTCAGATTCCCTTTCTTCTTCCTATCTGTCTCGACGTGATGCTCCGGTGCTGTGCGAGAGTGCATGTAGAGGAGCGCGCGCCGGTGTGCTTGCGAGCGTGGGTGCGTGCACAGCATATTTGTAGTCATCAAGTAGGCTACATTCTTAGTCATCATCCCACACAGTGCTCTTCAGGTGTCTGTCAACAACCAGAGTCCTGACAGACTGACAGATGCAGAGTTACTTCAACCCACCTGCTGCTCACCTGCAGGCAGAGGCCCACACATCACATCTGCTGTTAGCTATACCTGTCAGTGGTGGACAGAAACCAAGAGCATTCACTCAAGTCTTTACTTCAGTTTAATAATCGGGTACTTCTGCTCCACTGTATTTCCATGTCCTACTTTATGCTTTAACTCTCCAGAAGCAACTATTTTACTTTTTACTCCACTACATGCACATGCTAACCATAGGGTGCTAATTCAAGTTACTTTGAACATTTAGATTCAGCTGAGTAATGCACAATATTATAAATGAATAGTTTATCAACTTTATTGACCATGATACAATTCACAAGCCATACTGTATGGTAATGAAACCACACTGCTCCTTTAGTAGCTGCAACATTAAACTGATAATAATAATCCTTCAATAATAATAGGCTTTTACTTTTGGTACGATAAGTTGGATGGCAGTACTTTTACTATAAGCTGCTATACAGTAGCACACAAGACCTATAACTCTCTAAATTTGGCCATATTGCTTCTTCTACAACAATTTGACTCACTTATTTTGTACTTATAATCGACAGAGACTCAAATTGACTCAAAATGTCACATTTAAAAAATATTAACGGAAGCCAAATTTATGTTCTGAGTTTTACGCTTGTGTTTTTGACCTTGGGGCCAGGTCATTTTCTAATAAGGACCTCTTCCGATTGCATTCATGCTTTCTGTAAACTGCACTGCTTTTAAGTGCAGCTCAAATAGAAAGAGAAGGAAGGGAAAATAATGGTTTGTGTAGAATTGTATTGGTAGATCTTGATGTCGTTTTGTCTATCCATCTCATTGTTATAACACTTAAAAAACATATTGACACTACCAACAAACACATGTGCATTCATTTATACAAAGACCACTCTGACACAACCTTAACACAATATAACCACCACAAAGTGACTGCTGTATTGTCAGATTGCACGTACAGAGCAGGTGACTTTCATTTTGTCTGTTCCCTGTAAAAGCTAATTACTGTTGAATGAGGTTTAAGCCACATGTTCTCTGTATAAAATCAGCATGAACAAGAGTGCCTATAAAGAAACAAATTTATCCCAAGCATGATGGAAAAAAGATGCATCATCGCCCTCCACAATGAATTTAATTAAGCAGTGCTTATGTGAGATTATTTGAAATAATAATTGCCTCGTCCCAGGAGAGAAACTTGGCGACTCAGTAAACAATTAGTACAGGAAAAGAGTAAATAGCTGACTGCTAGGAGAAGAAATGCTGTGTCAGTGGGACTGATTTAGATCCATTTGTCCCTTAAAGGTCACACAGGGTAATTGGTTGAATCTGTTTAATTTGCAGTAAAAGTTATTTTGATGGTATAATTATAGTTATATATTTGTATTGTCTTAACTATGGAACTTCAAGAACTACTCCTGAGAAATAAATGAGCAGATTGCTGGTCCTTCACAAAATGCATTTCCATAAGTGATCATTTAGTATGAATAACTTCATGGGAGCAGAACAGGCTGTTACATAGCAACCCATGGCTGTTGATGCGATCATTCAGACGAAGAGACAGCGTTGCATTTGCAGTAGGTCGTTGATGCGGGAAGAAAACGTGGAAAATGTCTGCCTCTGCATGCACACTCAAATGATATTAGGTTAAATTAACCTTGAGCCTGTTCAGCAAATAAACCTCCTGCGTGTCAAATGTGTTTATCTGTGTGTGTGTGTGTGTATATATAAACGTGATGAGGACCATCAGCAGTGGTAGGGGTTTGCTGAAGCCTTGATGTTTCACTCTGACTCTCACACAAAGAAAAAGCAAAGTATGTCCCCATGCAGAGGATGATGCTATGTCAGAAGACCTCACTGTAGAGGCTTTTCTGTTTGGGTTCTTGGTCTTTTCTGGCATCCTGGGAAACATCTTGGTCATCCATGTGGTGAGATAACAAAGAGACTAGTAATTTTTGATGGAGCTATATGTTTTGGATTGTACTCAGTGTGTCTTGTTGTCTCAGGTGTTTCAGTCAGCCGTGGACAGTCCGTCAGGAAGACTCCCTCCCTCTGACACCATCTTGGTGCACCTGTCACTGGCCAACCTTCTGACCTCACTTTTCCGCACAGTGCCCATCTTTGTGTCAGACCTGGGCTTGGATGTGTCTCTGTCTCCGGGCTGGTGCAGAGTCTTCATGCTGCTGTGGGTGTGGTGGCGAGCTGTGGGCTGTTGGGCGACGCTGGCCCTTAGCGTATTCCACTGCACCACCCTGAGGAGGCAGCACATGGCCCATGGACCCCTGGCTCAGCAGAGGGAGAGGAGGCGGGTCTGGATCGTTCTAGGAATGGTGTGGGGGGCAAACCTGGTCACCTCAATTCCAGCTCTGATATATAGCACCCATGTTCATGGCAACTTCACTGTAGAGCTGATGGTGATCAGCTGCACCACCAGGCCTCTCCTGGGTTGTGTGTGGGAGTTCCCCTCCCTTCAACAGGGCTCAGCCTTCGCCTCTTCCTCGCTCGCACTTAACGAGGTGTTGCCCCTGGTGCTGATGGTTTGCACCAACCTGGCCACACTTCATGCTCTGGCGAAGCACATCCGAGCTGTTACGGCAGGGGGAGAGTCAGGAGGAGCCCATGGGGATATGGAAAAACACGTTTCCAGTGAACGCAAAGCTGCTCATGTAATCATGTCGCTGGTGTCGCTCTTTGTGGTCTGCTGGGTGCTACAGGTTGCTGCGGTGACGTACTACAACCATGACGGGGGACACCACGCTGAGGGGCTGCTGACTGTGGCCCACTTCTCTGCCTCACTGTTTGTAGGATTCAGTCCCATGGTGGTGGCCCTGGGACATGGCAAGCTGAGGAGGAGAATCAAGCGTATGCTCCTGATGTGGACTGAAGTTCTTAAATGTCACAGGGAGGTCACTGAAAACGGGGGTGAATCCCCAAAGACTGAAGGCAAAAAGAAGGGAAAACAAACTGTTTTTATTGTTGAAAAAGATAGTAAGGTCATACAAGTTAAGGGGAAAGTTAAAGAAGATAAATAATGGAAGCAAAATGAAAATGCGACTGCTTTGATAGCAGGGATGCATCCTCAATATGAAGGCACCAACTGCATGTGTCCTCTGGACAGAACTTTTGTCAAGTATTATTTGAGGTTATTCTGAGATATTTCAAGCCATTAAGTGCAAGTCAAGCAGAGACACAGTATGTTTTCTGAGTCACAAATTATTATCAGCAGGGGATTTGTTTTCTTGTATGGTCGAAACTAGTTCATCTAATTCAATCTATCATTGCTTCTTTGTTGTTTCTTTTGAGCTAAGATGTATTCAAATAATCTTTTAGCCAAAATCACATTTTACATGCCTAAAAAAACAAAAGCTCAAATAAAATTCAATAAGCCAAATAAAACTCTTCCAAAATAGTGTTGTACAGAGGACAAATTAGAGAAAAGTACTCAACATGTTGACCCCCTTTAAATGTGTTTTTGAAGTTGATGCAAACAATAGCTTTTGATTAGCGGTATTGTGAGAGCTGCACAGGGCTGTGTCATTTAGAGAGCATAGACTTGACGAACGAACGTAGCCGCCGGTGGCCCACTGCCAGAACAGCCGGTGACATGGCAATGAAGATGATGTTGGCAAAACGAGCGATGACCAGAAGAAACTCTGCTGAGGAGCCGCGGTTGTAGTTGAAATAGTTGACTGAGATGATGCTGGTTCCCCAGGATGCAATGAAGAGCATTATGAGAGCAAGAATTACCTGAGAAACAAACATGGGAAAAATGATGGAAGTAAAACCGATGAAATATGTTATTGACTCCAATAAAAATGAAAAACAATCCTATAAGGAAACTGGTGTACATTTAAATGTGTTATCCTATCCACTAGTTCAGTTGCAGTTTTATTTACAAACTCTTCAAATGTGAAATCTAAAGACCTAATAGAGACATGTGAATAGCGTAAACCTGATAATCTTTCTGAAGCTTGAGAGTGGCCTAGATACTTAGGAATATTGTAAATACAGTATAAGTTGACTTATGCACTATTAATTTATACTGTAAAATACTGCTATTTGACCAAATATAATCACTACTCATCCACATGATGAACATGGCTTGAGTGAGCTCTTCACACCCTTCCTCCTCTTCCTCACCTTGGCTGCTCTCCTCTCAGCAGGCACGCGCTTTATGACTGGTGCATCTGGTACCGAGCTCCTCATCCTGCTGTGGGTGTAGAGCGTGTAGAGGGAGCCCAGGTTGGTGAAGGCCATTAGGATTATGGGAATAGTTTCATGGATCACCATAGATGTGGTGGCGTAGGCGAGGCCGCTGTAGCTGGAGGGGAAGTTCCAGACACAGCCCAGCAGGGGGCGCGTCGTGCTGCTCACCAGCATCAGGGTCTGAGAGAGGAGGAGGAAGATGAGAGTGGAGGAAACGGGGTGAAAGCTACACAGGGTTAGCAATTTAAGGAGACGAATTAACTCTATAGAAACTTAGACGCATAAAAGTAGTTTCAACCCCATTAATCTCTCAAGGGAGAGATTAATGTTGTTTTATGATTGAATACAAAAATTAGTATGATCAGGAAACTACCTATAAATACATTTTTAAAAAGCCTCACTCAAAATGTTCTAAATGCTCAATTCATTTAAATCCAACCATTTTCTCAGGGTGGATGCAAAATTACATACATATATTGAATCATGTGTAACTATGTTTGCTCCACATGAAATATTAGTTGATTAGGGATTTGTATACATGTCTTTAAATTCAAATGTTTTGTTTGTAAATTGTACACAATCTTTTTGTGATAATGCAGTTTATCTTAAAGTAAGCATACAATTATCTCACAACACATGTCATTTCTTAAAAGTCATATTTTAACTGAAATAAATGCAAGCTCAATGTTTACTGAAAGCAGGTTATTTAACAATGCGGATAATCCGCTCTAAAAGCAATGAATAGTAACCAGCTTTGAATTGTTAAAAAATGTAAAGCACATTTAAAAACAAGTAGCAAGGTGTGGACAATCATTAGCTGTGATTTAAGGTGTACAGGATTGGCAAAAATAAAGGCTGAAATATGCAAAAAGACAGGTGTTTTTTTAGTGCATGGGATTTGGCACATTTTAGTTTTTTGGTGCATTCATTGAATCTAATGCAGCAAGCTCCTACCTCGGTGCTGTTTACGTCCCCACTAGTGGAATAGATATGAGCAGGAATGGAGTAAATAAAGTTGAGACACCAGATGAGGCCCAAAATGAACATTAGGGTCTTAGGGAGACCCCGGGGCGCATGAAGGTTCCCAATAGCTGGAGCCACACGCCTCAATGTTTGGAGGTGGAACGCACTGAGGAAGAGCGTTGACCACACGTTGACCGATCGCAGCCACACCCAGACACCCATGAGAAACTGACACCACTCTTTGGATGAGTATAGCTGTAAAAGAAAGTGGTGCATAATCACACATTTGGAACTCTTCCTCACTGTTGTCCCCGTACTCACACTTTTCTCCTGCAGATACAAATAAGTCACCAACCATACTGACATTTAATTCACCTCCAGTGTACTTAACTTTCTAGTTTGTGTAGGGCAAACACAGTACTTCTCTTACAAAACGGGTTGACCAATATGTACACTTTTGGCATATAGACCTCTGGTATGTTAGCTGGTGCAAAAAAAGTAAATTCAACAGACATTTGAACTCACTGGAGCATAACTCATGAACTTAAAAAGCACATACCTCAAGTCCCACGTCTGAGACGATAAGCAGTGTGTTCCTCATCACAGACACCAGCAGGTTGGAAAGTGCCATGTTAATGATAATTATGTCCGAGTTACGTCCCCCAACCCGGTCCACTATGACACTCTTACCAATCACCCCAACCACGGTGGCATTACCAATGATCCCCAGCATCACCAGGATGATGTAAAAAGCAGTTTGCACGGGAGACACAGAGATACGCAGTCCCATCCCCACAAGCCCTGCATCCTCGCCTCCCTCTATGTGGCTGTTAATTCCAGCCATTGTCTCAAAAACTTGTCAACAAAGTTTTACCAAGTGTTGTAAAGTTTAAAAATATGTTCCATCTTCATTTTTGTTTGTCAGAGGAATATTCTCCAGCTCTCATCCTGCAGCATGCTGCAGCAGTACATTCACCCCGCTGGTATTCTGATTGTAGATCTTTGCAGGTGCAGCTAACCTAACAGTACTCCCTCTTGGGGCCAATAAAGGGGTCCATGATCCTGTGTGTGTCATCAAGACAAATACATGGCAGCAGAGGTGTCTTTGTGCTCCGGTCTGGTGAGACAACCACCGTTAGGCTATCAGAAAGCCAAAAAGCAACACAATGTTTTATGCCTTGGAGAGCTCCAGGTGCATGTTAATGAAACACAGGAGATTAATCAGCGTCCCTGAATGCAAAGTGCTTCCTTTGCAACTTCATTTTTTTGCCATCATGCTCTGGGAAGTGGACGTTCTCTTGTTGTGTGCTCTTGTACGGGGGGTGTTCGGTAGAGAAGGAAATAAACTGATAGCAACTCTGTTTTGGGTTTAAGTCAAAACCAGTAAACACTGAATCAGTCCATTCCCCAAAATAAATAATTGTGCCTTTAAATCTGTTTTATGACAGAAATTCAAGTTGTGGTTTTCATCCCTTCCTCATTTAGCATTGCAGAACCACAGTGGTCACTAATTAATTTGGTCACTAGGCCCTGCGTTCCGCTCACATCCTGTAAAAGACCCTTGTTGTCATTCACCTGTTTAGGTAGTGACACTGAGGTACATCCTACAACAGTTTTAACAAACATTAAGGATTGAACCTACATCCAATTATATCCAACAGTATATCTTTATTTAATCTTAACAGTGAATGGTAAAGGTAAGACGAGCAAGACATTCAGCGGGTAAGAGTTAAACAGCAGCAGACCTTGCATTACCCCTGCTGCAAGAACAAGTAACTCCAATGTTTTAACCAATAACACAAATCAAATTAATGGTTACATTAAGTGTAATTGTAAGATCATCTAAAACAAAATGTTTTTTTCAGTCCCTGCATTACATTCTATCTGTGCAGGTTAAATATTATGTTTCCTCAACAGGTGTGTGTGTGTGTGTGTGCGTCTGTGTGTTCAATATAAACATGTACATATAAAGGAAGATGATTTCGAATCATTCTAAAACATGTGTTTCAAATCAGAAGAAGACATGAAGTTCACCTCTAACTTGTTTTCTGAACCTTTTCTGAATTTCTGTTTGCAGCTAACAGCCACTAGATGGTTCCGTAAGCAAACAAATACAAGAGAGGAGAGCATATTTTAAAACTGATTTTTTTGATTCCTTTCTGAAAAGATATATAAATAAAATGCTTAAGGTCACAGTGCAAATCTCTTTAATATAAATATAATGTTTTTCTTATCTTTTTATTTGACCAGAGAAACATCTTAATAGACAAATCTGGAACTGAATTGTAAATATGACAAAAATATATATTCACAGCACGAATATGTCAAAACGCTTGAGTGCTCTTTTAGTTTTCTAAATCTCTATATAATGAACTGAAATGCACACAAGCCAAAATGTGGTCATAGATAATAAAAGTTATTCCAAAATATGTTCCAGCATGCGTCAGCAAAATGATTGTTACAAGTAGTTATTTTTGGGGGAAATAACCTTGCACTGACACTGCTGTATACTGTAATACACTTTTTTGTATTCATACATTTGGATCATTTTCACAGATGAAAACTGCGTTTATATTATTCTAAGCGCTATGCTTATTGAAAAACAATAACAGGCAAGGTGATAATCCTCTAAATTGGCCATCTTCCGCTGCAGGCTAATGCTAAATACGTTCATTTAAGACTCATATGAAAACTAGCAAATCAATAATTACATATTTGAAAGATTACATAATTAAATTGAATCCGGCTTCTTCAGCTTCTCAGGTCGCAGAATATCAGGGACCTTCTGTTTGACTTTTATAGCTTTACTGTAGCTCTACAACTCCAAATGATTTGTGGTTTATGGTACCTAAATAATAATATGCCATTTTCTCATGCTTTATCTTATTTTTTGTCAGGGTTTATTACCAAAACAACATTCAAACTGTAATGGAGTATAGTCAGCTGGGTGAATCCTCAATGTAATGCTTTTAGGATCTAATACCAGTTATTTTTGATCTAATACATGACAGAAGGAAAATACTGGGAAGGACGTTTTACATATAAATAACTTTAAATAATTGCAAGGATAATTTCAAGTCAATACACATTACTTATGTAACAGTAAGTATTAGGCTGACGTAACCTACTGATAAGATTTTCTACATCAATAGTCTACGGATGCACTGTTAAGGTAGGCGCTGGACTAATAGGAGATGGCAATGAATACATAAATAAAGGTCTATTCTAAAGAAACGCATTTGCACTAAATGTCACCTGGATGGGCTCATAAGCTGCTCTTAAGGGAGCTATAGTGTGCAGACCTTTATTTATGTTTTCAATAACAATAGCTGCTTACACAATGATTGGTGCTTACACAATGATTGCTGCCTACCTGCGTAGTCTTGCAGCTGTTCATATTCTTGACTATGTTAAGCAAATGTGTGTGTATGGTAGGCGGCATTCCTGCAAAGTTGAGGATTAAAATGTATTATGCCAGATTTTGCTCAGCCATTGTGTGACAGTGGTCTGTAGCTATGTGATAAAGACTTGTCTGTCACTATAATTAATTTCAAGGTGAACATTTGAACTAAGTACAATAATAATCGTAATGATACTCAGTCTTGCGTTAGTTATCTAGACTAGAGCATCCAGCGCTCAAAATGCTCGATTTCACCCACTTTTTTGCTTGATTGCTGCAGACTGTGATTGTTAACCCTGCTGGCTGGAATCTATCAGGGAAGAGAGACAGGCAAATGGGAAAGTATACTGGCTCTAATGGACCAACCCTGACAAGTATGAACATTATGCAGGAATTAAGAAGAACATTTCAGATAATAATATTCAGCTCAGCGAATCTGTGTGCCTCTCTGCAGTGCAGCATAACCCTTCTCCTCGGCCCGAGCTGTATACCGGAGACACACACACTCGACTCCTCGGTGCGAGGTGCTTGAGGCGCGTTGAACGAGAAGAAGCAGGCAGGTAGAGGGAGGAGATGGAGGGCTTAGAGGTGTAGGTCTGGGGGGTTTGGCTCTCCCAGCTCAGCCAGTAGCCTTTTAAACCTTCTTGATTGGCCTGCCACGCTACCTGCACCTCCTGATGCTCCACTGGGATCAAGTGAAGGTCGCTTAGGGCTGGCAGAGCTGCTGCAGGATAAAAAAAGACAGAGAAAAGTAAGGCAAATATTGAAACCACCAGGGAAAGTAAAGCTGAATGCAGGACTCAAAGGTCAACTTTCAAGCAAGAGAAGTAAACAATGCTTTTAAGCAAAGAGGACAAAATGATCCTGAAGGGAGAACAACTGAAGGACACACACTCACACAGTCAGACATAGTATACATACCCTCTTGAGTGCATGCTCTAACCGACATTGCTCTTTCTTTTCCATTCCTATGCAGAGCACTGACTGTGACGAGGTACTGAGTGCCTGGCTGCAGGCCGGTCAGTAAAGTAGAGTTCTGCTGGCTAGGTAATGTCACGGTGAGGACCTCTCCGCTTGGAAAAGCTCCATACTCCACCGTATATCTCTGAACTCCAGCAGGCTGCAGGGGACCCCAGCTCACACGGATCTGACGAGAACCAGAGTCTGACACAGAAACCACTGTCAGGCCTAAAACATCTGAGGGGAGAGGAGACAGGGGGGAGAAGTGGTGACTGGCTGCAGGAAATTAAGAGTCATCAAAATGTATTTAGGTCTGGACCTGGTGTGCATTAGGAATATTGCTGTGCAGCACTTGATACAGAACACAGATGGTAAGTGCGTTGATGCAAATTAAATAATGATACATTAAGCCAACTTCAAATGTCAGACAGAGAACAGAAACATGCTGTAACAGGCTCTCTAATGGATATCTGTTGTCTAGAAAGAAGTCATCAACTCTCTTCGACACTCAACCTGGTAAATGTCTCCAGTGTTGTAATACTTCTATGTTAATTTAAGCATGTCCAATACGATTTCAACTGATAAAACTCCATTAGTTGAGGAATATTCTGCAAAATGATAAAAACAATAACAACTGAATTTACTTTCTTTCTTTTTACTGTTTAGTCGTTAACCTAGTATGGTTTTTTATGTGCATTACAGGAGCGTTCAAGTATATGTTTTTAAATCCTCTCACGTGTGGTGAAGTTAACAGAGAGTGTGTTGAACAGCCTCTGGTTGGACTCTGGGTGCAGGGCAGCAGTGTAGGTGGTGTCAGGCTGCAGGTTGGTCAGCTCCACCCAGCTGGAGTTGCCTGAGAGAGTGCGTTTAGTTTCAGGGCCTGCTTTCCCCAAAGAGTTGTATGAGATCTCATAGTAACCGCTGTCTACTTTCAGAACAGGACGCCACTGCAGCACGGCACTGTGGGAAGTCAGGTCAACCACACGCAGCCGTTCTGCACGAATAATTTCTACAGGTAAGACAAGAGAAAGAGAGGCAGCGTGAGATAAAATATAGAAAGAGGGTAAGCCTGTAGTGAAAAATCTCCTTTTCTTTCCAAAAAATAAGCATGCTTCTACTCTGCTCAATTTCATATTTAAAAATCCACATACTGATAATGGCCTCCCTCAGGTCTTCTGTGATGATGTCGATGTCATCGATGTCCACTGAGTAGAGGTGAGACTCCAGTGGAGGTGTCACGGCACGCTGTAACACCTGGTAGTTTCCATGTACTGTAGACACAGCTAACACTGACACTCCCTGCGCCTTCAGCTCGGTCATCGCCCCCCCTACGTCTCCGGGCTCCACACCATCAGTCAGCCACAGCAGCACCTTCGGCATGTTCTCGTCTGTCTCTGTCAGAAGCCCCTGGGCCACCCTGAGCGCCGCCTTGGTGTTTGTGTCTCCCTGCAGCTGGCTGACACTCTGCAGAGCTTTCTCCAGACTTTCCTGGTTGTTGTGGACGTCCAGGCCAAACTCCAGGTTAGGGTTTGTGCCCACCTGCAGCAGCCCGACCCTTACGTGCCCACGACCCAATGAGAAGGGGCGAAGGAGAATGGTGGCGAAGTGCAACAAGCTCGAGAACTCTCGGTTTGCAACACTTCCTGAAGAGTCCAGGAGAAGGAGAACATCGCCTTCACAGCAGTTTAAAGCTTTACAAAAAACAAGGGAAAAAAGGACGGTCATTTCATTGCATGGGTCTGGATTGAAAGGGTAAATGGTTATACATTAGATTTATTTATGCCAACCTATAATGTTCAAAGCTGCATGTACAAACATTTTGTTGGCCACTTGGGGGCAGTATAAAACAAGCTCTCAACACAACATTTACATATTATTTTGTTGTACATTTAACATTTGTGCATTATTGTCTTATCCTGGAGATGAGTGAATAATTAGCTTATCCTGGCATACACAGTTTCCTTGCCATGCTTGAACAGAGATTTCACTGCGTAGTCCCACTCACTGA